AACATCCAGTTTTCCTAGCTTCATACTTTGCACATTCCATGTTCTGATTATTGATGGATGTTTGAAGCTGTTTCTTCTCATTTTGAGTTGTGTCCCATCAGCAAATTAATGTCATAGAAGCTTAACTCCAATCACATCATTAAGGTCAACTCAACTGGCAGTTCTTTCCCAGATGTATTTTGAATCCCTTCCAACCTGAGAAGCTTATTTTCTGGAAGTATTTCTGACAACTTCTACTGCTAGTCATAAGATTTTCAATGGTTAATCATTCAAAAATGGTTTGCCTTTTCTTATTCCTATTTTGTCTTTGCCTGGAAGCTATACTGAAATCTGTCCACTATGGGTGACCAACTGGTATTTAAAATACCAGTGGCATAGCTTTCAGCATCACAACAAATGTGTAAGCCATCAATCACAGTGTGGCAAACTGACAGACAAATGGTGGAAAATCTTTATTAGACAATGTCTATAAAGGAGCCCTGGTGGTAGGATAAACACTAAATTGCTAGCTGCGAGGTAGGCAGTTCAAACTTAGAAGTTGTTCTGAGGGACAAAGAGGAGGCTGTGTGCTCCTACGAAGATTTTAAGTCTCAGAAAACCATACACAGGGCCACTGTGAGTGACAATCATTTTTATAAGCACATTGGTGTCCCTGGAGGAGTGCAGTAGTTAATGAGCTCAGCTGCTAACTGAAATGTTGAAGGTGCTACTTTCCCAGAGGCTCCTCAGAAGACTACATTGAAGATCTATTTTTGAAGAAAGATGCATTGAAAACCTTATGGAACACAGTTCTCCTCTGGCACACATTAGGGTCTGTCTCCATGAGTTGGAATAGACATGATGGCAAAGTTTTTTTTAATTAGGGCAAATAAAAAATGTTCCTCCAAAGGTTTCATTTCATATATGCACAGGTTTACTCCTTAGAAATGTGTTGAAGCATGTCTCTGTAATCAGTGGATGGGACACCTTATGCATCCACTCTACAGTCCTATTCTTCCCCCAACAGATCTCTTTTGTTCCCAAAACTCAAATAACATTGAAAATAACTATGAATTGGGTCCTTGAGAATGCCAAAACTGTCATTTTGATGTGGTGTTAATTTTTAAAGTATAGAATTGTTTAGTCAGGGGGCAGAGAGATAGAAGCATCACCTTCAGAAGTGTATAGACAATCACTTCAAGTTAGGATTTTTTTGTTTGTTTGTTTAATAGAGGTTTCTAGAATTTTGAAGCAATACTTTTTTACTTACACCCATGTAAGCAAATTAAGTTCGACATGTTCATGCCTGGAGTCTTGTTCCCCCTAACCTAAGACTTACTCCTCCACCAGTATCTATTGTCTAAGTGAAAAATCATTCATCCAATTGCTCAAGCTTAAAACCTGGTGCTACCTTGACCTCCCCCTCTCTAACTCTACATAGCTAAGTAACTACACAGCTTGTCCTATCTGATTTCTGATTTCCTAAGATGGCATTTCAGCTCCTCTGCTTTTAACAAAACCTTCCTTGGTGTCCATTTGGCATATCATCACAGCACCTCCATGTCTTCTTATCTTGTATTTCTCACTAGGCTAAAAATTATATAGTTAGAGAGGTTGTTTTTTGTTTAATATTTAGGAGATACCATAAATATTATATCATTTGATTTTAGGAAGTGTTGGTGACAAGAAAGAGCAATAATAATATCAGTTATGACAAATTTGTAACAACTAACACAAAATAGTAAGTAGTGAAGTCAGGACCTAAATGTGTGCTCCTAAACAATTATTTCACAATATATACCAGACTTAATGCATATTTAGTTATATAAGTTAATAAAAACGTGACTTGTTTGCAATATAGTAAAATTAAGTCTAGAAAGGTAATGATTATTTTAATACTTAGGCACAAACATAGAATATATAATTTTTACATTACCATCTCCATATAATATGACATCATAGGTAACAGCAATTACCTACCTATACATAATGAGGAAACATATTTATTAATAAATAAAAGCAGTCAAGCATCTTTTGACTTTTCTGTCAAATCCAAATTGGAGCCTATTAATGCTGTGTTTAGAGTTAAGGTGACTGATTTAGTAGGTATAGTGGTCTTGTTTTTTCCTCTGGGACAGAGGCAGATTAAAAACAATAATGAGCAACTGCTTAAAGAGACATCTTGAGAATAGAAGGAAAGCTGACATCAAGAAGACAAAATGTATCAAAAAGAAAGGTCTGAGCGAGTACATTATTTGGGAAATGAGACAAAAAGTTTTTCATATAATATTTATCCCTAGCATCTTTATGAATTTATTGCCTAATGTAATCACTTTGTTCATTATGATGAAAAAATCATATAGAACATATTAAATGATTGTTAGTATCCACTCTACTATGAAGTAAAAAAAAAAAAAAAAAGCCACACTTTTTATAATTGAAAATGTAGTACTAGAATTTTCAAACCTGATAAGAATTTGGAAGTGGCTTTTCTTTTTTTCATTTAAGATGTCAACTCTTCCATTGCATCCCTGAGAGACTATTAGCTAAACTTTTCAGAAATGCCTCTGCTGATGGAGAATTCAGGAATTCAATGACGATGTTCATTGAGCATGGAGAGACTCTCATTGTCATGGAATTGTTTCATATATGAAGCAGAAGTTTGCTCCCACATAACTTATACTCCTTGGTCCATAGTCTAGCCTCTGGAGTAAAGCAGATCAGAACTACTCCCTCTTCAGCATTTTAACCTTACAATAGAAAATCACATTACAGAGCTAAAAGGGAACCAATAGAATAACAAGATACTTTCTTTTTTCATATAAGAAACTTAAAACCCAAAGTCATATAGATCATACATTTAGATATTGGCAGAGCCGTTACTAAAAGCCTTTCATCTGAATTTTCCCCAGTGTGTTAGGTCATTTTTATCACTTTAAAACGTATTTTATTATGATCATGTTACTCTCCCACTATTCTTTTAAAAAATGATTTATTTTATTTTTGTTGTTGGCTGAGAATATACACAACAGGACATACACCAATTCAACAATTACTAAAATCCAGTAAACTTGATTACATTCTTCACGTTATGTAAACATTCTCACCCACCTTTTCCAAATTCTTCCTCCTTCATTAGTATAAACTCACTGCCTCTTAAAGTTTCCCATCTAATTTCTCAGTTGCTATAGTCAAGCTAATACCATATAAATAATTCTTTAAAAAAGCACAATGCTCAAGGCACATAATCTTTACTAAGAAAGCTAAAATATTATTTGGTTTTAGGAGCCGTGTTGGCACACTGATTAAAGGACTTGGCTGCTCATTGAAAGGTCAGTGTTTTGATCTCACCAGCTGCTCTGTAGGAGAAACATGAGGCATTGCGCTTCTGCAAGTTGACAGCCTTGCAAACCATGTGAGGCAGTTTTACTCTGACCCGTAAAATCACTCTAGGGTCACTATGAGTTAAAATCCACCCAACAGTAATGGGTTCTTGTTTGTTTTATAGAATATTGCTAGGGATTATTTTGCTTAAAGGTTAAAGATTTATCTGGGTTAATGCACCAGACTGCAAAGCCATTTGAACTGCAAGGTTGGTGGTTCAAGCTCACGAGCTGCTATTTGGAAACTCCATATAGGGTCACTATGGGTCAGAACCGACTTAATAGCACTTAACAACAACAACAAATCTTAATATAAAGATAATAAAAACGTATTGACTAATTCTTCTTTGATCAAAGTTAAACAATTAAGTTCTTTTAATTAGACTTTAATAATCAAGTTATAACTAGCAGGTTTAGCTTTTTTTCAGCATCCTCATTTGTTTTATAGTCAAGAATTAAAGTATGATAGGTCAGTGTTCAAACCCACCAGTAGCTCCTTGGAAACCCTATACAGGATCCCTATGACTCGGAACCAAACTTGATGGCACTTAACAACAACAATCATGATTTAGAGATGTGTACCCAAACCAAACATACATGGTACCTCTTTAAAACAAAAAATACTCTGGTTGGTTGGTTGGTTATATGCCATGGAGTCGGTTCTGAATCACAGGGAACCTGCATACAGTTTCCAAGGCTGTAAATCTTAATGGGAGCAGAAAACCTCATCTTTCTCCCATGGAACAGTTTGTAGTTTCCAACTGCTGACCTTGAGGTTAGCAGCCCAACTCGTAGCCACTATGCTACCAGAGATCCTTATAAAAGATTCTGTTCAATCAAAAAATACAACAGAAAATATAATCTGTGCATCAGAATAAAGAGCCCTGCTGTCAAGACGGTTAAGAGCTCAGCTGCTAACCAAAATGTCCATGGTTCAAATCTACAAACTGCTCATTAGGAGTTACGACCTGGCAATCTGCTCCTGTAAAGATTACACCATAGGAAAGTGTAGGGGACAGTTTTGACCTGCCCTATCTTTCTGCTCCCATAAAGATTTCCAGCCTCAGAAACCCTGTACAGGGTCGCTATGAATCAGAATTGACTCCATGGCACATAACAACAACAACAACATAAGGTCACTGTGAGTCAGATTAGACTTGATAGCACACAATGTAGACCAGAACGGTACAGAGTGCTCAGCTGAACACACATACTCACAGCAACACACTACAAACGTTTGGTTTTCCAACATCTGGAGCTTCCAAGATATCAATGTTGTTGTTGTTAAGTGCTGTCAAGTTGACCCTGTGTAGGGTTTCCAAGAATCAGCTGGTGGGTTTGAATCGCCAACCTTGCAGTTAGTTGTTGTTAGGTGCAGTTGAGTCAGTACTGACTCATAGCGACCTTATGCACAGCAGAATGAAACAATACCCAATCCTGGGCCAACCTCACTACTGAGTCCATCGATGCTGCCACTTGGCTCACCCATCTCATTGGGGGTCTTCTACTTTTTCTCTGACCCTCCACCTCACCAAACATGATATCCTTCTCCAGCGACTGCTCCCTCCTAACAATATGTAGGAAATATGAGAGACAAAGTTTGGCCATCTTGGCCTCCAAGGAGCACTTTGGCTGTACTTCTTCCAAAACGGATCTATTGGTTCTTTGGGCAGCCCATGGCACTTTCAATATTCTCCTCCAACACCATAATTCAAAAGCATCAATTCTTCTATGGTCTTCTTATTCACTGTCCAGCTTTCACATGCATATGGCACATGAGATTATTAAAATACCATGGCTTCAGTCAGGCTCACCTTAGTCCTCAAGCAGACATCTTTGCTCTTCAACACTTTAAA